AAAATAAATTTACAATATTTTACATAAAAAATAATATTAAGCAACCAATTTCCTCCTCCCCCACACTTAAAAAGACATTAGGGTGATCACTGTGCAAGTTATAGAAATGTCTAATCACTATCTATATACCTGAAACTAATATATGTCAACTCATTGAAAAATAAATTTAAAACACTTAAAAATACTTTTTAAAGGGCATTGATTGAAATCAAGCCTTAGTGACCTGGATTTAATATTTTGGAAATAGAAATCTATACTTAGTACATCACTTGATGACAAACATGTCATTCATTCATTCAGTCAACAAATGTTATTGAAATGCCTACTATAAGCTCAGCTTTTCCCCAGGTCTGTCACAAACCTCCTGCCCCATCGATGCCTGCACTGTAGTGCAGAGAGACAGGAGATAAACAAACAAACCATATTTTACTTGGATTGCATAAGAATACATATAGATACAGCTGTACATAGCAGAGGGTGTCAAGGACGACTTCTCTGATGAGTGAGTGACATTTGAGACGAGACCCAGAGGAAGTAGGGGAGAACATCAGGCACGAATCCAGACAAAAATCTTGCCAGACAAAAGGAACAGTAAGTACAGAGTCCCTGAGGATGTATGGTGCTTGGTCTGTTTAAGATCGATTAAGCGGGCCAGTGTAGCTCAGCAGAGCCAGCTGGGGTAGACAACAGCGGGAGATGATAGGAGGGAGAGTGATAGGAGGGAGGAGCCTTGAAGGTCAAAGTAAGGTCTTTGGATTTCGTTCTGAAAGGCTAACATTCTTTGGAAAGGTGACAGAACATGACTCTTTAAAAGGATCACCCTGGCCACAGCGCTGAGGAAAAACTGCGGGGCGAAGCAGAGGCGGACACAGAGAAACTCAGCAAAATGATGAATCCGGGCAAGTCAGGGTGGTGGCTCAAGGGACAGGGTGATTTTCTCAGGGTCAGCAATGAGTGTACCTATTATGAGGCTGACAAGATTTGCTGGTGGATTATTTGTGCCTGGGAGCGACAAGGAGGGGTTATGAATGACTTAGATGTTTTTAGCCTGAGCAACTGGAAAAACAGTCGTGATAACTGCTCAGATTAGAAGGAGTTTAGGGGCAGAAGAAGTTTAGGGGCAGGGCTGGTGCTAGTAACCAGGAGTTTGGTTTAAAACGCTGACTGAAGATGCCTTTGAACGTACCAGTCTGGATGTCTGGGGAGAGTGAGAGACCTGGCAACTGTCAGGTACAGGTGGTACCTAGCCACGAGACTGGATGAGGTCACTAGAGAGTGGATGTAGAGAGAGATGGGGTCTCAGTGTGGGGCACTTGGAGGGTCCAGGGTCAAACGATGGAAAAAAACCCTCCAGCAATATGACTGGTTAAATGCTCACTTCGGTGCTTGCAAAAAAACTCAGCTGTTCCCCCTCCTTTATAGGGTAAACACTCCCATAACCTTTGTTGTACAGATCATTTTTACAGAAAGTTTGTTCTTTGTTGATCAAGGTAGGTGAACGTCAACATTTGCTTTCTTAAGAAATAAGCTTTCATGGACTTGAACTCAGAGTGGTCGAGTGCTATAAAGAACCAACTGACAAGCTAGCCGGCCCTAGCTTTATGGATGCTGGCTGGAGACATGAAACCCCTGCGTCAGAAGCAAAAGAGTTGATCAATTGCAGCACCACCGGCAGCATGAGCTTCATATTTCTGATGGGTTGCCCGTGTCCCCCAAATACCCGCAGAGGGAAGAGAATTAGGTGTGGCTAGAGGCTGCCCTGGCAGTGGGTTTCTGACAGCCCAGCTACCCCCAGCCTGGGGAACCCCAATCTTTCATAATGAGCTGCACGCACAGCTATTCAACATTTGCTCCAGAAATAGGTATTTTCTTTATAATACTAAGACAGCAAACAAATCAGCCCTCTGCTTTAGTGAGAAATACTATCTCTGGCTTCTAAGGCTGTTTGCTGTAAATCATCACAGCAAACAGCCTTATTTTGCCTTATTCTGAAAAGAGAATTCAGAACAATAAAGTTACCAGCGTGTCTGCTGACAAGAGATATATGGACAATTATCTCCCAACAAGAGGAGAAATTAAGTGGTGCATTTTGGAGAATTTATGAGCCTTTATCCTGTTCCAGTTAGGAATTCAAAACCTTAACTATTAAAAAAAATAAAAAAAAACATTTATTTGACTAGACAACACTTTAACCTGGTACAGAAGTCCAAATATAAAGTATTCAGGGTTACAAAAGATGGTATAAAGTGGTTCCTCATTTGCTGCAAGAAAGAAGCACACTTCTCTCACACCTGTTTTTTCTTGCATCCTGGTTAATTCTGCCTTTTTAACCAACTTCCAAATGACTAAGGCTCCCTAAATAGGTATTAAAAGCCCAGCTCTTAGGGGATATAAAAAACTACTTTTGTATTATTAGGGTTTTATTAGTTTTCTACTTCAGCCCCCACCCACTTCTGCTTGGCCCAGGCAAGCCCAGATGACGAAGCTAAGGGTCTGAATCAGCATAAAAACACCAAGTAGCGGCGACATTTAACCAAGAGCTGCTGAGAAGAAGCTTCGGTGCAGTTCTCTTATCTGTTGTATCTGCCAGACAGACTTGTAGCTCCGTGATCAATGATACGGAGCTCTACTCACACTCTTTCTTTTCAGAAGATCACATTTCTGTCTAGTTACAATCTGAGGACATATGTCATAGTAAGCTCCTGATAAATCCTGTGGACAAGCTCTGCCCATCAAACCTTCAAATGTGACTAGTCCAAATTAAGATGCGCTGTTAAGCTAGTAGGAAAAAATGATAGAGTATCAAATGCCCCAATAATTCCTATATTGATTGCATGTTGAAAAAATATTTGGGGTATATGGGGATAAATAGGATGTATTATGAAAATGGGTCTTTTTACATGATTAATATAGCTATTAGAAAATTTAGAATTATACATGTGGCTCACGCCATTTTTGATTGGACAACATGACCCTAGAATCTTGGGGGAAAGGCATAAACTTGCTAGAATATAAGGCGGGAGGAGCTTAAACCACTTTCTTTGACTATTAAAGAAAAGGGAGACCCCAGAAAGTTGGAGACACAAGACTGCAGACATTGACCGATTCAGGAGGAGAAAACCAAAATGTGTAAGAATAGATGGTGTTCATTTTAGTAAAGTTGTGTTCAATTCAGAACGGTTCCTACAGATAGCAAGTGCTCTCCAAATACGACACAATTTATACCAAAATTCAACATTTCAGAAACACATTGACATGAAACAAATGACATGGCACAACTCTCCAACATAAATAACTTACATTCAGTCCTTAAAGTTAAAGCAGAAGAGTAAGAAGCAAGGAAGCACCTACCCCGCAGGGGTGAACAAACACCCTGATGTGCTGGGCAGGGACTACCCAGGCTCGGGACCAATGCTTCGTGCTTTTCCACTGCACGTACAAAGTGCACGCAGGGCAGCAATCATCCACAGACATGCTTCAAGAATTGTATGAGCAAAAACTAAAACAAAAGATAATGCTTGACTCCAAGTTAGATAAACTGGTTGGAGCCAGAAAGTATTTGTCCTCTGACATGTGACCCAAGGGGCTGCGATTCGGTGCCTCCGGGCCCTACATCACACACAGGACAGCGATGTGTATACGGAGCCGGCAAACCTCAGACCAGGCTGAATGAAATATCACACGGGCTCGTCTTTTTCTTCTACAGAGGAGAACATGGAGCCACCGAGGGACAGGGAATGCGCCTGAGGCCACAGAGCTGCTTCGAGGCGGTAGCGGGACCCAAGCCACAGGGCCTTACAGCACGGTCTGCATCCTGGGTGTGACTCTGGTGCTACCTGACCACTGACCTGGGGGTCTGAGAACTGGGGATTTTTCCTCTTTGCTCAGGGGTTTCAGGGGGATTAAAGACCCTCTAGGATGCACGTCACAGGCTTCGGTCACCTTCATCACGCTCGGTGGGAGTGAGGCTCATGCCCCGCGTCCCCTTGTGTCTTCTCACCCGAACTAAAGAAAAGCTGACGCTCAATGAAAGAAATAGCTGTGGATGCCCACCCCTCTAATCTTCACGTATTTGAGGGTCTCTGGGCAGCCTGGCGCCTACCCGACAGCTCCCCGCCATGGACGGATGGCTGAAGATGGCAATGTGGAGCCTTTGTGCCCCTAGAGACTTACAAATGAAACCTGGGTTCCAGGGATCAGAGTGGCTACCACGTGCAGAGCAGAGTGACACCGCAGAGCAGGCTCATGGTCTTGTCCCTGTTCTCTCTCTCTGCCTACATCCTTCAGCCCTAACCTAAGCCACCCAGACTTGCCCTCAGCTCATCACCTGTTTCTCAAATAAGCACAGAGAACTACACTCTCCTCCCACTTGGCCTGGCCATGGCTCCGTGCAAGACAGGTCAGCATATTCCATATCAAGATCCCAACAACCACAAGCACCACAAGGGAGGCTTGTTCATGGAAATCAACCTCCAACTGGTAGCTTCCTGGATGGGAGGGATTTTTCTGCTTGGAGGCCTTCCAAGTGTTCTTGCTTAATTCTTACTTCTCACACACACACACACACACACACACACACACACACACACACTCTGCTCCACAGGGCACCCCAATCTTACAAGTTTTCCAGCCCCTCCTATAAATAATAGCTGGCTGCTGAGACAAATTTACATTGTGGTAGGAGTCCCTCATTTCATAGGAAAAGACATAAAGAGTACAAAACACAGAACTGCATTTTCACTGCGCCTCTACAACTGTCCCCTGTCCCAGGGTCAGGAACTTCAGTAAACACCCAAAGGCCTGTTATCCCTGGTGTTGAGGCGACTCGGTTTCCCCCTTGAGTCTAATCCAATCCCCGCCTAGAAAAGGTAAGTGATTCCTGGGCTTCTGAGCATGCCCGGTTATCATCCGGAGACGTGGTGTGGAGTCAGGGGGCAGGGCAGAACCCCAGGCAGGCCCCGATAGTGACATGCCACTAAGCCAGGAAGGAGGCACCATACCTTTGCAGGTGAAACATTTGATGTGGAAATGTTTGGTCTGGACCCGCAGCACTTCGCCCTTGCACGGTTCCCCACACTTGTGGCAGTGAATGACAGGCTTCTCGGACGGGTGGTGAGGGTCCTGAGGGTGAGCCACTGGAAGGAAAAGGAAAGACCCATGTGAGCAGGAGGAAGTCCTATGAAAGAGGTCATCGTGCACGTGCATAAATATCCACATAATTTTGGTATCATATGAGCCGCATATGAATTCCTAAGTATGCACGGAGCCCCTTCCCACATGCCGTAACCACTGGATGCACACCTTAAATAAGAAAGCTGTGGCTTTGACAGTCTCGTGGGGAAAACACAGGGCCCAGCAGGTCTGCCTTCCTCCCAGACTTCTCTAGGTCTATGTAACCAGGTCATTCAATATATGATCTTGTTTGGTTAATGCTTTCTAATAGGTCTTTAAATTCATGCACTGTGAATTTATTGAGGATGGGGACCATTTCTTACATTCATGTTTTTTTTATCCATTTGTACTTTTCCGTCCTTCACCCAGCTCCTCAGAACACAGCACAATGTCCACGTGCCAAAGGACTCTATAAATGTTTATTTACTTGGTACACGCTGGCTAGCTTCTCGTCTACTGTACCAGAGACAGCCCTGACGTTACTCTGGCAACTTGTTTAACCTCCTGGAGGCCTGTTATGAGACTCCTACTATGTGCACAGTTCCTGAGGCACACATTGCAGGCAGTAGTTTAAAAAAATCAGTAACCACGTGGTCCTCTCCAAACCTCAGTTTCCTCTCCTGCAAAACAAAGGGGGTTGGGCCAGGTGATTCGAAGGTCTTGCAGGCCCTGAAATCATGGGATGGGGCCAAGGAGACTATCCCCTCAGTTCCCAGAGCGGCTGGCAGAGAGCACTGCTGCTGCCCTGTGGGGGTAGGGGGGGCGATACAATTTACGGCCTCCTCTTTACAAACGCGGCAGAGAGTCATCAGCGAGAGAACACCTGTGGCCTTAAACGAGCCTCGGGTCTTCACTCACCCTGCCGTTTCTCCAGCCAGAGAAGGCAGAGGCCCTTTCTGCTACTGAATTCCTTTTCTGATCTGAACTGTGTGCTATATAAAATGTTTTACATACGTAGCTATGTGATTGTGATATGGGATAAGAACAGTGACCCTAAAATGCATCAACCTTCACAAAGAACAAAGATAATTTTTTTTCTCATACAGTAAAACCGGACTGGAGGAGGAGGAGATGTGAGCAGATATTCCTGAAACTCAATTTAGAAAAGCACCTATAGCCAGGAGCTCGTGTCCAGTGCAAGCATAATAGCTCATTGTTTCTCTCTGGCCACGGTCATGTTCTCATTCCACCTGGAAAGAGCTTGAACAAGACAGTCCAAATAATCCATTATCAGCTAAATTCTCAGAAACAAGGTTCTTCTTGTGAGATTGAGAGGAGGAACAGGTGTTGTTTCAGGTTGAACACCTGATCCAAGTTCTCTGCGTTGGACCCCGGGAGCGTCCGGCAGAAGTACCAACCTTGCCTTACACCTGCATTTCCTTATCTACCCACTGGGGCCTCTCTCTGAAGCCTGTGTTTGCAACAGAAGCAAGTGTGATCTAAAGGAGTTAAGGAGAAGCATCCGTTCAAGATCTCTAAACAACCGCCAATTTTAAAAAGATTTTTAAAAAATTTAATTGTTCTTCAAGTACAGTTTTCTGTCTTTTATTCCCATCCCAGCCCACCCTCCCCCCAGTGCTCCCCACCTCCCTCCCATTTCCACCCCCCTTAGTTTTTGTCCATGTGTCCTTTATACTTGTTCCTGTAAACCCTCCCCCTTTTCCCCTGAAATTCCCTCCCCTCTTCCCTCTGGTCACTGTCAGCCTGTTCTCTATTTCAGTGTCTGTGTTTTTATTTTGCTTGCTTGTTTGTTTTGTTGTTTAGGTTTCTATTAAAGGTGAGATCATATGGTATCTGTCTTTCAGCGCCTGGCTTATTTCACTCAGCATAACGCTTTCCAGTTCTATCCATACTGTTGCAAAGAGTAGGAGCTCCTTCTTTCTTTCTGCTGCATAGAATTCCACTGTGTAAATGTACCATTGTTTTTTGATCCATTCATTTACTGACAGGCACCTAGGTTGCTTCCAACTCTTAGCTATTGTAAATAGTGCTGCTATGAACATTGAGGTACATAGGTTCTTTTGGATTGGTGTTTCAGGGTTCTTAGGACATAATCCTAGAGCAGAATTGCTGGGTCGAAAGGCAGATCCATTTTTAGTTTTCTGAGAAAATTCCATACTGTTTTACATAGTGGTTGTACCGATCCCACCAACAATGACAACCACTGATTTTTAATGTCACCTGAACATTAAACAAAGTTTCTGCTAACAATGTGCACTTCAAGTGCTAGTGGAGAATATGTGAGTTTCTCTTTTAAGTTAATTCCTACTTCCACACAATTTACAATAGCCAAGTGCTGGAAGCAACCTAAGTGCCCATCAGTAAATAAGTGGATCAAAAAACTATGGTACATTTACACAATGGAATACTACGCAGCAGAGAGAAAGAAGGAGCCCCTACCCTTGGCAACAGCATGAATGGAACTACAGAGTATCACGCTGAGTGAAATAAGCCAGGTGGTAAGGGACAAATACTGTATGCTCTCACCTTTAACTGGAACATAATCAACAAAAGAAAAAAGCAAGCAACATATAACCAGAGACACTGAAATTAAGAATAATCTAACAATAGCAAGAGGGGAGCAGGGAGGGAATGATGGGTGGAAGGGTTTTCAGGAACTATTATAAAGGACATGGACAAAACCAAGGCTGAGGGGGGAAGCAAGGGAGGGAGGTGGGTTTGGCTGGGGTAGGGGGGAAATGCAGACAACTGTAACTGAACGACAATAAAATAATTAAAAATAAATAAAAATAAAAAGCAAAAAAGCCCCACATATTAACATTGTAGTTATCACAAGAATAAATTTTTGCTATTTTAAAAAAGTTAATTCCTGCCTCTTATAGGACTGGAGGAAACTAATATTTATTGAGCATCTACTAAATACACAGAAGCCATTTCATTAAATCCTATCTCTGCTCATCTCTCTCCCTTTTCTGTCCCACCTCCCCTCTGCCTGTGAGGTGGGTAATATTGTTCCCATTTGACAGATGAGAAAATAGAGCCTCAAAGAAGGTGAACAGCCTGCCCAAGTTAACAGTAAATTTAAAGATCTACAGCCCGGTCTTCCTGACTCCCAAGTTTGTGCTCCTGCCATACTATATGACTAAATCAGAAAATTGTTATAAGTCAGGCAGTAATTTATTTAGCCGAGGTCAAGCTCAAGTGCAGTTCTAAAAGTGGCAGTTAGGACTTGGCTTACCAAGGGGGCAGACACAGTGTGTGCAACAGTCACGCAGCTGGGCATGGCGCCCACGTGTAATCCTGGAGGTGGCTCCGCCTATCCCGGCAAACAGAACCCGTGTGCCTGCCCCACAGGAACACGCAGGCACCTCGGCCCCACCAAACGGAGTCGGGGATCTAGTGTGTCAGTGAGTTCCTCAGGTGATTCTTGGGCATGCTGGACTTTTAATTCAGACGATATGGCTGAGCAAGTCACAGACGAGAGTGAGGGTGAGGGAGGACCCACGGGACCGACCTCTGTAGAAACAATGCCGAAGCCACAGGACTCTCCACGACAAGGGAGAGTGCCTTTTTGGACAAGCAACAGCACTGCCGTTTCTCTCAACACTCGAATTTTTTTGTAGCTAAGCAAGCGGCCCATGCTGAGTAATGATGAGGGAAGGAAAATATCGTTTCACTTCTTGGCTCTTCCCTTTGTCTGAACGAAGGTGCCAGCGCTGCTGCTGGCAGCAGCTGCAAAGGTCAGAGCTGGGATCAGCATCTGTGTTTTGCAAGCATTTCCCTTTGGAAATATATATGACACTGTGAAGTCCTCCACGCCCAGAGATGAGCTTTCGCTTTCACCCCGGGACGAGCAGAGACTCTGTCGTGTCCAGCTGCCTTTCCATCATCCATCAGCCCAGGCAGACGCATATCAGAACACCCTGCCTGGGAAGAAATGGGCTGTTCTGATCAGAGAATGACAGAGCCCAAAGGCCGACGAGACTTAGTGTTTATTTCATCTCAACTCGAATCGGCGTAGATAAAAGACCCTCTCTCCGTTTCAAAGATTAGTAAAGAGGTTCAATTTACACAACAGCCTTTGGCAGTTTGGTTTATACCAAAAGTATGTTCCTTGGCTCAATTCTACATTTTTGAAATATGCTGAGTCAGTTGCAGCGTAGCGATGACATTGATCCCATGCCCCTCATACTTGCCAGCTGGCTCTATCACTCGTCTTTACTTAATCGCTCCATCTTTCAGAGCCTGGGTGGTCCCTGCTTATTCAACAGAGAAGGAAAATGAGGAGCAAAGAACTTACATTCCTTACCCAACGTTACCAGTGAGCGATTGGCAGGGCACTCAGGCCTCCTGAAGCTGGGGCAGACACGGGGAAAGCCCTCCATGGCCCCTCAGTGCATTGCTAACACAACAGTGGTACAATGAGAAACCAGAAGTGTGGCTGCACACTTCCTGAATAGTGAGGAAGCAACGTGTGCAGAGCCAGCAGTCTATCTGAAAAGGTAAAGCAATTCCTCCACTGCATCGTATCCAGTTTGCAGGGGCTCCGCCGACTCAGACAAAACAGCCTCTGACAAGGCTGGGAAGTTTCACACCGTCTTTCACAGTTAAGCAAAGTGGTCACATCCCCCCGAAATCTGGTGCCCGACAGGAACCAGAGTTTCATGTTAGATGCATTACTTTTGAAATGCCTATTCAATATCTCGGGTGATGAGACCGGGGGAGTGAGACCATTAAGGATATCCCAGAATCCTTCGGTGCCCCCAAGAGGAAGGTCACAGAGATTCGGCAGAGCCCTTCTTTCTAGTCCCAAACCAGCGTCATCCTGCCCGGGCTACTTCCATCGGATGCCAACCAATGGGGCTAGACCACCAGAAACAGAACATCTGAGAAAGCATGTTGGAAATGCATCTCCTTAGCAGGTGACTATCACAAACCCATGACTACTCAGTATGAATTACAACTTGCCCTGGGTTCCCTGAAATACTCAGAATCTCCCAGG